CACATGGCCACAAAATTGCAGTCGGGATGAGGAGGATGAGAAGATGCATGATGATTCGGTTATGGTGAATGATCATGTGGGTGACTCGATTGCGTTTACTCTCAATCTTGTATACCTGCTTGAATACCAAACGTGATGTGCAAATGCGCACATTCGGCACAGCTGGCAAGCTGTCCAACCTAAGACAGATTGCATACCCATATGCTGTGTTGCACAGGAAGAGCGCCCACTGAATGCAAGCAGCACACACAAGCTCTAGGCCGAAGCAAGATCTTTGTATGCTTTGATGATGTTCAGAGCTTCGCTGAACGATTTGTCGGGGGAGTCACCGTACGGCGCACACTTCTCAGCCCCACGCTTTGCGATGTTGGGCCAGACCCTCCAGCCGCCCTTTGAATTTGAGTGCGAAGCCCTACCGCCTAGATACTCCACGGACCCACTCTCGGGCATCGGGGGGCGCTTGGTCACAGTATGCGTCGAAGCAGCTGGCCTCTTGCCGACAAACGTGTTGACCGAACCGCCGCTCCTGCCTGCGCCTCTGCCCCGACCGCGGCCCCTGCCGCTCGTGGCTGCGCCCCTGCCAGCAACGGCCGCGGTGGCAGCGCCGCCTGTGTTGCTGGACTCATTGCCGTCATCATCGTCTGACGCATCGGACTTGTCGCCCTTCTCAGCAGCCTTGGCAGCCTTGGCAACTGCCAGCGCCTTCGCCTCAGCGGTCGAGCTCGCGAGCTTGTCCTTCTTCGCCTTGGCCTTGCGAAGGAGCTCCTCGTACTCAGCCTCAATGGCTTTAATCTTCTTCTCAGCTTCAGCAACTTCATCGGTTGAAGACTTGGCCCCGTCGAACTCGCTGAGCGCTGTGCCAAACGCTGGTCTCTGTGCACTTGGTGCAGGTGCCTCGGCCTCGTGCTGCCCGAGTGGCGTTGTCGGAGGAGGCGCGGTCGGGCTGACAGCGTTGCCGCTGCTGCTCGCGCCAGCGGGGCTCGCGCCAGCGGGGTTCGCGCCGGCAACGGAACGCGCAGGATGCTGCATCGGAAGTTGGAAAGTGCGGGGCTGCTGCGCACGCTGGTCAGGCGAGACCCACTCGATGGCCAGTGGCTGAGATGCCCAAGGCAGACCAGCAGCTGGAACCATCGACATCTGCTGGAAAGCTTGCTGCGGTGTCAGGCCTTGCTCCATTGCTGCGGCCATGAAGTCCTTGACGGGCATGTTGCCGAATGATCCAGCCGCACCAGCAACCATCGGCGTTCCACGCGTTTTCGGCAAGAGGTCCCTCACGTGGTTCCGTGAAGACCTGCAGCTCGTCAAGTCCCTCACGACGAAGAAGTTACCGACCGCCTGCGCGACTGGAGGGTCCGACGGGTCTGGGAACATAGCCTGGAACACAGCTTCTGGAAGGTCGTGTGGGTTCGCGGGGTACTCCTTGACGAGAGGTAAGTCGGTCTCGGTCAGTAGAGCTGCGCGCGTCGTCTTGAACGACTTCGTCAACTTGCCAACCTCGTCGAACAGCTGCATGGCAGTCACGTCCTCGGACCAAGCATACATGGCGAGCATGGCGATGACGTCAGCACACGCTGGAGCGCTCGGTTTGGTCAGACCACCGAGCTTCATGCGTTCGATGACAGTCTGTATCTTAACTCCATCGTTGAATGGCGTAGTAGGGTCGCTGAAGATGTTGAAGTCCGTCTGTGTGAAGTAGTTCAGCACGTTTGAAGCATTCTCTTTCTTCGCAGAGAATGCTTGGAACTCGTGGGGGCCAAGCTTTTCGGGCTTGAAGCTACGAATGAGTGTCTCCTCAACGGCGTCACTCAACGCGTGTTTCTGTGGTTCAGAGAACGCTGTCAATGAAATCGACTCAAGCAACGTCTTAGCACCCTCACTGTCAACCGTCACGGAAATCGATTTGATCATTTGAACTATTGAAGAACACAGTGATGCACGGAGCCTGTCAGCCCTGACAGCGTCCCTGCGAAGCTGAGCCTGTGTGTTGATCAAGGTTCCAGCGTCCCTGAGCTCATTAATGATCTTCTGGATGCTAGCCATTCTTACTCGTCACGACTATGTAAGTGACACGCGGTGAGCGATGAAGCCACCTGCGCGTGAGCCCAAATGGCTACGCCTGAAAGCATATAACCTGTATATGTGAGGGATTGCTTTGTGTGAAGTAATGCGCCATTCCGAACCACATACATATGATATATTCCAAATGCACATGTATTTGTGGTAACTCAACGCACAAATTCAATATATTGATCCATGTTCTGGCTCACCGCAGAGGTTCAGTCACAGTGGAAAGTCGATCCCTTCTTGACCGAGGGAAGACCACGAACGAGGCGGAGGAGGATGAGGGAGGATGCTGGGGGAGGAGGATGAGGAGGGAGGAATGATGATGAGGAGTGGGTGGGAGGACGAGAGAGAATGATTAGGATGTCAACTGCAATTTGTTATTTTAGAAATGTGCGTCGATGAGAACCGACGACGCTTTTTGATTTTGGAAATTGACGTCGTCCCGTATCGACAACACTTTTTGATTTTAGAAAGTGGCGGTGGTCCGGACCAACGTGGAATTCTAAATTCAAAAATTGCCGTTGCTTTCAAATATCAGCACCACAGGTGGTTCGTGGACCGAATTAGAAGCGCATTGAGTGGTTCTGGACACCTTTGGGAGCCCTTTGGGCCGTCTTAGTGCCATCTTGGAGCCGTCTTTGGGGCCCTCTTGAGCTCTCTTGGAGCCGTCTTGAAACCCGTTTGAGGTATCGTGGGCCGTCTTGGGGCCATCGTGGGCATCTCCTGGATGGCAGAAGATGGCCTCAAGAGGGCCCTTCGGTCCACCCGACGTGCAGTATTTATAAGAAACTACATACCTCCATCTTGGGCGGCTATCTTGGGCAGTCTTGGGAGCGTCTTGGGCAGTCCTGGGGCCATTTCGGACCCCCTTGGGCCGTCTTGGGGCCATCTTGGAGCAGTCTTGGGGGCATCTTGGGTCGTCATGAGGCAATTTTGGAGGCCTCTCGGTCGATCTTCGGGCTGTATTGGGGGCCTCTTGGGTTCTCTTGTGCCGTCGGAAGGCCGAAACTGCGCGAAGTACAGAACACACAATTCCCAGCGATGGTTTTGAAAAAAAAGTCAACTTGGACAATTCACTTTTTTTCAAAACCTTCGCTGGCAGTGGCGTTTTCTGTAAAAAATACTACATGTGTCCTTGGCGCCGTCTTGGGCTTTTTTGGGTCCCCTTGGGCCCCTCTTGGAGCCGTCTTGGACCCTCTTGGGCACTCTTGGAGCCGTCTTCCTCATTGTGACGATGCCTGTTTTTTTTAATCGCTGGCTACGCCTGGCTCGAGGAACTCCACGGCGCGCATCGCGCGTAGCAAAACAGCTTGCACGCACAACAGCTCAAGCCTGACAGAATATCAACTGAAAGTGAAACTTCAACACACGGGCTCGATATCTGCATCTTCACCGCCGCACTCCTTCCCGACATCACAAGTTGATTCACGTGCTGACACCTTGCGCCTCTTCTCGTCACCCTTGGTGTACGTTCGCTTATCTGGCTCACTGATCTCCGTTGCACGGATGAACAACCATTTCAGGACATTGGCATCGAGCGAGACCATAGCTTTAGTTGGCTTGACGTTCAATGGCATGTGTGTGTGTGTGTACCTCGCGGATCTCTTCCCCCGCCTTGGTCAGGAAAGCTGGGAGCACGACGTCCACGATCGAGCTCGACGTGCCCTCTTGGAGGTGCTGCAACGCCTTCTCCTGGGTCCTCCTGCGGTAATCTGATTGCTGACCTCCGCGAGTGTTTGTAGCGCCGAGCTTCTCTTTGCTGGCTTCCTCCTGGAGCTTACACAACTCGGTAATGAGGACAGCAGCACGGGCTGAGTACGTTCTCTTGTTCACTAGCCAAGACTGCATCATCTTATCGCCTCGCTTCAGCTCGACGAAGTTTCTCCCTCCGACCGCCCGCACAGGCACGCCGCACCAATCGGGGTGAGTGTTCACAGGAGAACTGATAGTCACAGTCGTAGTGAATGCGATATCTTTCATCACTGAAGTATGGAAGGGAACTGGTTCCGACATCGAAACAGTGAAGTACACCTGATACGGAAATCTGAATGAACGCAATATGCTTTGAGCCAAAACGGCTATGCACACGCGTACGCACACACGCACGCACGGTAGGAGGAAAAGAAGGATGAAGGAGGAGGACGAGGATGAAGAGCAGCAGCAGGAGCTTGAGTGGAAACAGTGGGAGGAGCAGGAGGACCAGGGAAAGGCGGAGGAAGGAAAATGAGGTGGGCGACAACATTGAGCAATGCCTCGGATCTTGAAAAAAGGACCGCGCTGGGGCGAGAGCGCCATTCTGAACGACGGGAGCCCTCACCCAAGATGCCCAAGGCCCCAAGATGCCCTTAAGGCCCCAAATACAGCCAGCCAGCCAACCAACAACCCAACCAACCTCTGGCCGTGCTACGCGAATTGTATGCGAGGCCCCAAGACACCTAAGGCCCCAAGATGCCTAAGGCCCTAAAATGTCCAGAAGGCAAAAAATACAGCCAACCAGCCAGCAAGCCACCCAAACAACCTCTGGCCGTGCCACGCGAAGCGTATGCGAGTCCCCAAGACGCTTAAGGCCCCAAGATGCCTAAGGCCCCAAGATGCTCCTTAGCCCCCTGGGCCCTGAAAGGCCGAAGACCTCGGAGGACCCCGAGGCACGCGGGGCACCCAGGCCCTCAGGGGCCGTCGCCCATTCCAGCGCACCCCTCACACGGATCGTGGAGTCTGGACGTGAAGGGCCGAAGGCCTATGGATAAGGGATCCGTTGAAAGGGGGTAGTTCTTTCTGTACCCCCTTCCCCCCTCATCCTCCTGTCTGCTTCGCCTCTCATGTTTTGCATGTACCGCTGCACGCCAAAAGGGCTTCGCAGCGTGACGGGGCAGCGTCGTCGCTTCGGCCTATGCCGCAATCCACACGCGCAGTCGCAACGGCTGTAAAGGAACCAATTAGCGGCGGGACCGCTTCGCTGGCGAGCCGATTTCACTAGACGGTGTCTCGTGAGGAACTGGGACGCCCTGGTACAGCATCTCGCCCTCCTTTACCTTTCGGTGGTTCTTCAGCATGGGCAGCTTGACCTCCATCTCATCTGCGTCATCGCCAGTCTTGAGATGCAAGTTGATCTTGTGGGTCATCCAAACCGTAGTGAGGTTGGGCTGCCACACTTGGTTTGCAAACGGAACACACCAAAATGGTGATACGAAATTCTGATTATCGCCCTTGCCGACCGCGAACTGCGGCATGAGGTGGAAAATCGTGCGAGGTACCCGCACTAATTCACCCAAATCGATTGCCCTATCTGGGGCCTTCTGGTCTGGCAAACGGGTCTTAATGAGTTGTGTCGCTGGCACAAGCGTGATCTCGCCTGCTTTGAAATCCCGTTTCGCAACCACAGCGTAAGGGTTGTGGTACACTTTCAAGTCGTGGTTGATGTGGTTCCAATGAGCATTCTCGCTCAGAGCGCTGAGGACGATGGTGATCTGCGCCTTCATGCAATCAAGTGCCCAGCCCCAGTTCGTCTCGGGAACCACGCTGGTGACGTCGACCTCCTCCTGCGGCTTACTGGTAGACACGCACCAGAGGTCCTTGAGGTTGGCCAACATTACGGATTTATCCTCCAACAAGCTTTCGTGCACGCCAGTCGGGGAGAGGATGGCCGTGGCGACGCCCAAATCTTTCACGGTCCACAAGTTGCACTGGCATTCAGGATCAGGTTTTTTCAATTTGACCACAGCACCAAGCTTGAACCCAAGCTGCATCATCTGAAACGCGGGTGACCTGGCATCTTGCAACTGCTGCAGCGCCAAGTGTTTCGCCTGCTCGGGCGCTTCGGGTTTGCTCTCGACGGTCGAGACGTTCCCCGAGGACGCAGAGGCAACCTCGGAAGTCAAATTACAAAACAACAATCCTCCTTCCTCCTTTCCTCTATCCTCTCATCCCTCATCCCTCCTCCGTTCCGTCCCTTCCCTCCGAGGGAGGAGGAGGAGGAGGAGGGGGAGGAGGAGGAGGGAGGAGGGGGGAGGAGGAGGGTGGAGGAGGAGGCGGGGGAGGGATGAGGAGGGAGGAGAAGGGTGGAGGAGGAGGCGGAGGAGGAGAGAGAGAGAGAGATAGACAGACAGAGAGAGAGAGAGATAGGAAGAGGAGGATTTTTTCATGTGCTACGATCACCTTGGCGACTTGCTTCGCGCCGATCCTGTGGCGCGGGAGGAAGGGGTTGTCGATCGCAATGCCCGTAATGGCAGCCAAGTCGTCGACGAAGACTTGGAAGGCAGCGTCCAGGGACTTGTGCTCCACGCCCTCCTTGCTGGCCTTACCCTTTTTCATAAGGAACAGCGCCAGCCGAATGTCGTGCTGGCCCGTCAACTCAAGCTTCTTGATTTTGTCGAGCCCGTAGTTGTCGCACATGGTGCGGGCCTGCTCCATCATGCTCTCGGCCCGCTGCACGTCGTCGTAGATGGACTTCGCAGTCAGCTTCGACAGGTCAGCATCCTTCAGCAAGCACGCCCTATTGTCAATCACCTTCTCGATGGGGGAACCCATCTGCGCGAACAGCGCTGCAACTCGGATCCTCATCGGCGGAACCACTGATTTCGGCCAGCTCAGCGACGCCAGCTTGTCGAAGAAGACGCCGCCGACGTGGCCGAAGGAAACACCAGCTCCGCGCGGCGCCTGACGCTGACAGACGACGATTTTTGATTTAAAAAATTGCCGTTGGGCCTGACCAACGGCATTTTTTGATTTTGAAAATTGCAGTCGGTCCAGACCGACGGCACTTTTTGATTTTAGAAAACTGTTGGTGTGTTTAGTTCCTCCTCCTCCTCCTCCGCCTCCTCCTCCCCCTCCTTCTCCTCCTCCTCCTCCCCCTCCCCCTCCCACTCATCCCACTCATCATCATCACCCGTGTCCGCCCCCTCCTCCTGGCCTTGAACAGCGCCACCTTCATGTCGCGAGCCTCCTCCACCAACTCCCTCGGGACAACGCTGGCGAACTTCTTCAAGGACTGTGCCCATGCTGCCCAGAACGGGTTCGTGAGCAACGCGCCATCGACCGCGGCCTGCCACGCCAGCTTGTCGTCCTGCACATTGAGCTCCTCCACATGCTGTTTGAACGTCGAGTGCATGGTCAGCAAGCCCTCGAGCTCCGAGACCTCAGACGTGTCCACGCGGTTCAAAGCCGCGTAACCAATCTGGATGACCTCTGGGAAGGCTTTGATGACTTCAAAATTGACCACGGTCCATTCCAGCCCCCTGGAAAGCGCTGTGTTCAGGCTCGGCCATTTGGTGATGAGGAACTGCGAATCCAAAGAGCCGCTGGGCGCGATGGTCTCATCGGTGCATGGCAAGGCGGCCTGGATGGCGCGCAGAGTCACGTTGGAGTGCGTGCCGCCGAAGGAAGCCAATTCCATCTTCTCGCAAGGTGGGAGGCCGCACTTCATGCTGTGCTCTTCATTCCAAGAAATCCAGCCGCCGCACGCATCATCAGTGGTCGGAACCTCCACGGCGAACGCGCCCTGGCAGGCTCGCGGGTAGCTCCAGCCAGCCCTGCAGTGCTTGCCGAGGTTCGACAAGCTCTTCTGCACCTTGGAGTCCTCCTCCTCCACCTCCTCCTCTTTCTCCTCCTCCACCCCCTCCTACACCTCCTCATCTACCTCCTCCTCCTCCTTGGCACCTCGAAGCCCAAGCCGCCGCGATTCTGCGGCGAAGCGCCGACCCTGGTCGGCGCGACCGTGGTGACCCGCAGGAGCTCCTTCTTGCCACCGAGGATCCCGAGGATGCTGTCCCAAGCCTTGACCACCTCCGCGTCCTGCTTGAACCGACAGATGACCTGCCGCAAGTCGCCGCTGACCTCCCGCAGGGCCTGCTCCACGGCTGGCATGGTTGCAAAAGCGCCAGGCCGATCGGAGCGAAGGCGAATTTGAGCCAAAACGGCGATGCGAACGACGACGCCAGGCAGCCCCAAGATGCCCCAGGCCACAGGAGGCACCAGGAGGCACCTGCAGGAGGCACCAGGAGGCGTCAGGAAGTCCCAGGAGGCCCCAGGACTTTCCAGGACTTGCCAGGAACTCACAGGAAGTTCCAGAAAGCGCCAGGAAGTCCCAGGATGCCCCAGGAAACACCAAGGGAGCTCAGGATGCCCCAGGAGGCTCCAAAATTTCCCAAGAGACCCCAGGAGTTCCCAGGAGCCGCCTAAAGCCCCTCAGGAGGCCGAAGGAGGCTTCAGGAAGCCCCCCCTTGGCCACTATGAGGCCCCAGGAAGCCCCAGGATGCATCAGAGAGCCATATGAGGCCCCAAGAGCCCCAGGAAGTCCTAGGAGGCCCCAGGAGGCTCCAGGAGGTTGCTAATCTTCTTAGCTAAGCCGCTAACTCACTTAGCTAACCTGATTAGCTAACTAGCTTAGCGGCTTAACCTAAGGATGTTAGCAACCCTTGCAAGTCACGTGCTAACACGTTGCCAATCGACGTCCGCAATATACCTAACGCAATGTATTCCTTTAGCTATATCGTCTATCATGATATAGGCATGCGGTGGCGTTGGTAACGACTTGTATAACGAACCCTAAGCCGCTAATGCGTTGCAACAGTTATAAGCACGTTGTAAAAGTTATCAAGATGTTATTGGGAAGTTGCTAAAGAGTTGGTAGAAGTTGCCAGAGGCTTAGCAAGTTGTTATAACGACGACAAGTGTTAGCAAACCCGGCACCCTTCCAAGCCCCCCCCCTCCGGAAACCCGGGGCGGGGTCACTACCGGTTCGAACCCCTCCCCCCCCTCCCCCCCCAGTTCATCATGCAAAGGGGGGGGGTTCACTACCGGTTCGAACCCCCCCTCCCCCACCCCCTCGAAAACCGGGGGGTCACTACCGGTTCGAACCACAACCCTCCCCCCCCTCTCTCCTCGAAAACCGAGGGGGGGTGCGGACAGTGGTGGGGACGGTGGTGGTGGGGACACTGGTGAGGGGACAGCGGGACAGTGGTGGGGACAGTGGGACAGTGGTGGGGACTGTAGTGGTGGGGACAGTGGTGAGGACAATGGTGGGAACAGTGGGGACAGTGGACAGTGGTGGGGACGGTGGTGGTGGGGACAGTGGTGTGGGGACAGGGGGAGGTGGAAACAGTGGGACAGTGGAGGGTACAGTGGTGGTGGGGACAGTGGTGAAGGCGGTGGCGAGGACGGCGGTGGGACAATGGGACAGAGGTACAGTGGGGACAGTGGTGGGGACAGTGGGGACAGTGGTGGGAGCAGTGGGACAGCTCAGTGGGACAGCGGAGGAGTTAGTGGAACAGTGGGGGCAGTGGGGATAGTCCGGCAGTGGTTGGGGCCGTGGAGCAAGTGGGGAGAGTGGAACCGTGGTGGGAACAGTGGTGGGGACAGTGGGATCAGTGCGACAGTGGTGGGAGCACTGGTGGGGACAGTAGGGACGGTGGTGGAACCAGTGGGGACAGTGGTGGTGAGGACAGTGGTGCTGGGGTGCTGGGAACAACAGTGGGGGATGCGGCGCGGACGGTGGTATATAAGGGCCGGGAGTCGTTTGCTGGCGGTGAGTGGGGGGGTGGGGAGGGGTTCGAACCGGTAGTGACCCCCCCTCCGGTTTTCGAGGGGGGGGGGTTCGAACCGGTAGTGACCCCCCCCCCCGGGGGAGGGGGAGGGGGGGGGGGGGGTCCAGCAGAGGGGGGGGGATTTTCGGAAGGGGGGGGGGATTCCTGGGTTCCGGAGGAAGAGGGGGGGATTTTTTTCAGTACAGCGGCGGCGGATCACGCTTTCTTGAATATGAGGAACCGTTGCCGACGGAGCAAAGCGACCATGCACGGAATTACAGGGGGTCTTTTGTCTGGCCGGCAATGTCTTCTTGCGATTCCAGTGTGACTCTCCTCCACAGATTGCCCCACTGCTGGTTTGCCGAATACCTAGAATTCCAAACGCTTCGCGTAACCCCACCAGGTCGCCTCCACGGTTCAGGCCACCCTGGCAGCCTCTCCAGTTGCAGCGGTTGTCCACGTTTTGCAGTTCAGTTCAAAACCTCTGGCAGCTTGCAGACCCTGGCAGTCAGCAGACCCTGGCAGTCAGCAGCGCGCCTGCAGCTCGATGCACGTTTGCAGCCCCTGGCAGTTTTGCACCTCTGCCCCCTCCCTCGGCTACCTCCTGGCCCCGACCTGAGTTGCGGCGGTAGGCCTGCTTGTGCTAGGTAATTTAGGACCTCGCGCGGCCCGCTCGGACCTTGACACGCCGTCGGCGCGCTCGCCTGCGGCTGGCAACAAAACAGCAACCCCACCAGCCTATCCAGAAACGATGCCCAAAGGAATTGCCTCGATCAGGGAAGTGGGCAGCACACAGAGCAAGGGTCCCCCAGTGGAGGCCTCTTGGAGCGTCTTGGCCTCTTGGCGGTCCCGGACGCCTCTTAGAGCGTCTTGGGTGCCTCGGAGAGTTTTTTGTGGCCTCTTGGGGGTCTTTTGGGAGCCTCTTGGAGGTTCTTGGGAGGCTTTAGGGGCGCTTTCGGGGCCATCTTGGAGGAGATCGACCAAAGCAGGGGGGTCCGTAATTACGCCCCCCCCCCCTCGGGAGCCCCCACAATAGCCTCCTGGACCACTCTTAGGGAGCTCTTGTGGCGCTTTTGGGCGCTCTTGGGGCCGTCTTGGGGCTCTATCGGGCCCTTCTTGGGGCCTTCTTGGGCCATCTTGCAGCCATCTTGAGGCCTCGGATGGCCATCGGAAGCGAGAAGGCGAGAAAGGCACACATCACTGGTTTCCCTTAGGTGTTTGAAGTATGTGGGTTTCTTGGAGGCCTCCTTGGAGGTCCCGGAGGCCTCTTTGAGCCGTCTTGGTGCGGTCTTGGAGCCTCTTGGAGCATCTAGGAAGCCATCTTGAAGCATCTTGCGCTATCTTGAACCATCTTGGAGTTCATCTTGGGCACTCTGAGCCCCTCTTGGAGCCGTTTTGGGCCATCTTGGAAGCTCTGACCGCTCGCGACCCCCCCCCCGCCCAGGTCCAGGGGAGGGGTGGGGGGGAGGGGGGGGGGAGCCCTTTTCCGGCGGGGAAGAAGGAGGACGGAAGAGGAAGTTCCCTAGACCACCTGCGCCCAGACGGCTGGTGGGATTTGCCCTGGCACCCACATTGTTTTCGGCGTCACCCAAACATACCTAGACTTATATGTGCGTCGCCCCCCGGGGGGCGATGCGCGCACCGAGAAATCTTATAGTATATGCGTCGTGGCGGGCGCTTTCTGGCCACACCGTTCGGGAAACGATATACTACAAGATGCGTATGCTATACGGGCGCGCGCCTCCAAGGAGAACACGTAGGACTAGTATGTCTTTGTGCCCATGTTTTTTTCGCGATGTTGGGTCGCCCTATGCTTCCCAACTTTTGCCTGGACTACCGCGCCGCTGGGTCTGGCCCCGCCACGCCTCGGCGCGACGCGCTGACCACGTCCTGGCCTCCCGGCGTCAACGTCCCGAGTTTTTCCCACCCGTTCCTCCCTGCGAAGCGCTTGGTATCGTTCGGGGATTGTTAAGGAGCATCCTGGACCATCTTGCGACAAAAAAACACCCACGAAACCGAACAAAGCACAGGGAATGGACGTCCGAGCGATGGCCAGAGCGGAGCGATACGCTATCCATTTTCAAGGCGTAGCTTGTCGCCGGGGCCGTCGCAGCGACACGCTGCGTGAAAGTTCCCTACCGTATGGCTTTCGGGTGATTCCCATGTCTTCCCGTGAACCCCTTTGGGTTCCCGAGGGTGGCTACGTATTCCTATGTATCCCAGATGCTCCTTGAGGGGACCTCACGGTCCTACACCGTCTCTGGGTGCGTGGCTGAAGTGAGTCCCGCGGTTCGGGTTATCGCTGAACTGCCCACTTCTAAAGAGCAGTTCTTGTTGGTCCCCTTCGCCCGTGGTGCCCCTCTGTTTCTCGATAGAAGGGCCTCCCCCCGCGGCTTCGCACCTTGTTTTTTTCTAGGATAAGCATTGATGATCAGACCGTGTTGCTGTCCGCCCCCCGGACTCCAACGACGGCTCCCGCCATAGACGTCTTCACAATTTACTCTGGAGTCGCGCTCTCGCCCGAGGCTTCCCTCTACGCCCATTTTTTCGACGCCCAGGAATCGCGCTCTCGCACGAGACCTCCTTCCAATGTGCTCCGGAGTTGCGCTTTCGCTTGAGACTTCTGGCATCGTCTTCGGAGGTTGATAGACCTCCTACCCTGACACGTCGATCAGTGAATTGGCCGTTTTCGGTTCGCGAGAGGGCGTCGCGGCCGTCATTTCTGCGGGTCCAGGTCCGTCGGTTTCGGTCCTCACCAAGGGGAGGTTTACTGACGGAAGGTTTGTCCACCGCCGAACTGCACGGAGTTCGCCTCCATGCCCCGTCCCCCCCCGCCCGTGAGGGCCCGCCCCCTCGACCCGCCCGTCGGGGTCCGCCCGCTCGCTGGCCTGGAGCTAAGCCCGTCCGCCCCGGCCCGCCCGTGAGGGCCCGCCTGCCCGAGCCGCCCGTCGGGGCCCGCCCGCCCGACCTGGCCGCCGGGGCCCGCCCGCCCGCCCGCCCGCTCGACCTGCCCCTCCCGCCCGGCCCGCTCGGCCAGACTCGGGGACCGTGCTCTCGCCAGAGGCTCCTTCTCGCAGCTGTCACTGCTGGCGTCCGTGCCCCGCCCGACCCGCCCAGAACGGCTCCCCCGCCCGACTTCCCAGGTAGGGTTCGCTGGTCTGCGTGCTTGGAAGCCCCTCCGCCCCCTGTAATGTTAGGTCGGGCGTGTCCTCCTACAGGCGGATTTTGAATTACTTTGTTTCAAAAGAGAGTGACAAAACGATCCAACAACAGTAAACATAGCCAAAGCGTCGTCCCCATATGCTGTGCCTATTTGTGAACACCCCTCCTGCTGTAGGGGGA